GAGCCAATTTGACTGAGTCAGTAAGAGAGAGCTCCTGTTTCAAAAATTAAGATGGAGAGAAACAGAGGAAGACATCTAATATTTACTTCTGGTCTTCACATATATGCTCACACGCATGTACATAAATGTGCATGTACAATGATGTTCACACACACACACACACACACACACGCATGCACACGCTTCTTTTATTTGTAAAAATTAACAGATGAGCCTGTCCTTCACTTGGTAGTGTGCATGCCAGTGAGGAGATTTGGCCCTTTTTCATGTTTAGCTCACTTTGCTGCTCATCTTGTGGGTCTCTAACCAGGATTTGGGAACCTAGAACTGACTGGGATACCTTTTGGGGATGCACCCAGAGCCAGCCTAGTTGAACTCACCCCGTTGTCTTCCAACCTAGTGGGGTGTGAAGCCCAGAATGTAATGTAAAGGGCCCCTTTCCCCTGTCCAACCTGTCCTGGGACTTCTGCCGTTGGAGGTCAAGTGTGGGGGTGCCAGTGGTGGCAACTTAGCCTTCTGCTCTTCAACCCCACCCCTGTCCAACTTACTTGGGAGTTTTCACCCCACAATCATGTCGTCAGTGAGTGCCTGTCCCCAGAACACTAACCCCCAAGTCATATGCGAGTGATACCGGGAAGGGAGAGCTCGGGAGGGAGCTGCGTGCCCACTCACAGGCTGTTGGGTCATATGCTGTGGAGGAAGAGGCTGGGCTCAAAGACTGAGCACTTGCCCCGTCCTTCTTAGGATCCCCCGGACCACTTTGGGACCCTGCACTCCTCCCATTGGCAAGAAGGACTCACTGGAGACCACCTCTTGATCTTAGACTCCCTGCTCCTAGAACCCCGAGATGATTAAACCTTGTTCTTCATAAATAGAACAGCAGAACAGGGACTAAGCTAGGCTTTCTCCCCACAGGAGTCTTCCTGGCCTCCTTAACCTGTGCGGTTCTGCCTAGAAGGTGTGATTCACAGATGTCAGGGGTCTTCTCGGTTTCCCTGAGCTTTCTCTTGGGTTCATGGACAGAGCTGAGTTGATGGGTGAGTGCCATGTCCTGGTTAGCACTGGGAGGTTGAAAGGATGAGTCCTTTCAGTCAGCCTGAACCTGGAGGGCCACACGACAAGCGCACTGCAGACCACAGGCTCCTGTGCGCTGAGGCCAAATCATAACTGCATAGACGCATAAAGTACCTTATGTAGGCAAGACTCATCTGGGATGACGACAGCATGGTCAGGGGGGTGACAGGGGTCTTCTTATTCATTACAAATGGGTTGTATCCCCTATGTCCACCTGGAGAAATGTCCCCAGGGTGAGGATCCCAGAAGGGCACTTCCAAAGATGACCAGGGCTGTAGTTTCAAGTAGATGTGAGATGTCCCAGATGACACTCCACATTTCTTGCCTAAGCGGCTAAGAGCACAGGCTAACCAAGCCAAAGGCAAAGAACCTGCAGACACTCAGCCAAAACCATGCCACCCACAAGGGTTCCAGCCAGGGAGAAGCGAGCCAGTTAGAAGCAAGATGAGCTAGTCAGAGCTCTAGCTGCATCTAGGTGGGGATGTGTCTCCATGGGACTGACAGGGATGCGGGTAAAAGGCTTCCTAACATCTGTCGTTGATGCTCAGTGATGCAGAGCCTCACAGTGATGAGAGGAGATGGGAGATGGGGCTGAACTGTTCCTAAACACAAACTGGAGCCTTTACACCAGCACCTAGGGATAGAAATTCACTAGCAGTAGGGGCTAGCTATAGGATTAATTAGATAAGGTCACTTTGGAGAGGGTAGGTCTCAGCTAGAGGGACTGATGTCTATGTAGAAAGGGGATTATGGACATTGATGCAGAAGGGTAAAGGCAGAAGACGGGGAGGTGTCTAGGTACCAAGGAATCCAAAGGTTGCTGGAGAATTCAGAGGCAGGAGGGGGACCTGGAACTTAACCGGCTCACAGGGACTGAGGATCCCCCTATCTTGAGTTCCAATTTAAGACCCCAAGCCTGAGACAATGCTTCCTAAGCCCCTTCTCCATAAGCTGTGGTACTTGGTGACAGTGGTCCAGTCAAGCCAGTAAAGACAGGAAGTACCAATAAGCCAGGTGAGATTGTGTGTGTGTGCTGGTGAGATTAGAGCTGGACAATTTTGAGTTTTATGCTGGCCTGGGCAATCTGATGAGACATTGCCCCAAGAAAGGTCAATATTCTAAACTAATATAACACATATACACACAGAGTTCTATCTATCTATCTCTCTATCTCTCTATCTATCTATCTACCTATCATGTATGTATCGCTGTTTTCTAAATATCTATCCTTATTAATACAAATGTGCCCTCATCCCTCATCAAAGAAGATTTTCTTTTTTATCATTTTTTTCAATTTTTTAATTTAATTTTTTTAAAAAACTGTCCTTTCTCATTTCACATGCCAAATCTACTTCCCACTCCTTCCCCAAAGAAGATTCTTTTTGCAGCATAAGGCGGTGATTTCAGAGATGCCCAACACAGTCACAGGAGAACAAGTGACTGGATCGCACAGCTCCGACTGATAGATTGGGAACGCAAACCCTGACGCTAAGGCTCAGGGGAAATCACAGAAGACAGCGTGGAAAACTTGTAGGAGCCGGAGGCCCAGGCCACCTGTTGACAGAGCGTTCCCTGGACACTACAGGGCCAGTACACCCATGAGCTCTCAACCATGGCAGACTGAACACAAGACTAGCATGATTACAACACCACTTGCCACACAGATGTGAACAGAGGAAATTCCACACGGTCCTATCCCCATATGAAAAGCTATCGGAGGCTAATGGCTAACAAGAGAGGGGGAATCAGTTGCTTCAAAGACAAATTCCCAGGCAGGTTGTCCAATCCCAAGAGGTCAACCCTGAACACGTACACATAGGAACAAGCCTGAATGGGCTTAATAGGTTATCTATGCAGACGTGTATATACATATATGTATGTACGTATTTTTCAAAATTATGGATTATAGAAAGCAAGTCTGACTTTAGGAAATGTGTCCTTAGGATGCGCTTGGCAGTTTTCATAAGTGGTCTGAGCAAATCTCACGAGGCAGTCACTGTTTTTCCCAGATTGTAGGTGGGAGGCTGGAGAGATGCCCCAGTGGTTAAAAGTTCTGGCTGTTTGTTCTCCCAGAGGACCCAGGTTCAATTCCCAGCAGCTACATGGCAGCTCACAACCACATGTAACTCCAGTGCCTCCCCAGACACGAGGCGCACATGCGATGCAGACGTACGGGCAAAACACCCATACACCTAAGATAAAATAATAAAATGGAAAAACGAAAGAACGAAAGAAAGAAAATGTAGGCGAGAAAACCGTAAAGAGACTGCGAGGCTCGCCAAAGGTCACCATGTTCACCAATGGCTTTATGGATTCCTAACTTACGGCTTCTTCTGAAAGGGTCTGCCAGCAAGGCAGCCCAGGCTGGCTTTGAACGTTTGACGGGCATGCTCAGCTATGCTTGTCTTTAGTCTGGATACGTGGTGGTCCATTTCCAAGCCTGAATTTCCTCACCTTAGTCACTAGGCAGTCAGGGTTGAGGTTGGGAGACATGTAAAACTAGTAAGCATGAGAGGGGCTGTCTACGGGACCAACTGAAATAAAGAGAGCGAGGCAATCCGGAAGGGAGAGATGTCCTGGACGTAAAGTCCACTGCCACCAAGTGCAGGGCATTGGCTGTGTGACAGGCTCGGCGCAAGGCTGTTCAGATGGCCAGAGAGGAACGCCGGCTCCAAGACATTTGCCAGACAATCTAGAGCAGGCCTGCAGAACACACCCCTCTGTCCGTACTCTGTCATAAAGTTGCATTTGGGGACATGCCCAGTGTACCAGGTCACCAGAGTGAGTCATAGCCTCCTTTAGGTCTCGGGTCCTTCTCTCCGGTGACCCATGATCCTTCTCTCTTTGTTCCCTGGGTTTCCTGACAAGGTTCCCCCAAGGTTCATCTTTCATCCCTAGGGCCTCGGACCATCTCCCATGTTCAGAGCTGTATGCTCATCAGTCCTGAGAGCAACCCAAGGGCTCTCCTACCAGAGGCCAGCATGGAGGCCAAGTATTCCCAGCCTCCCAACCGGCCTTGGCCTGCAGCCTAAGGTGATGAGCACACTCAGTTCCCAGTCCTACCCAGCTCTCAAGATTGTGAAGAGGCCGGGGTGGAGGTGACTGAAGCCTCATATGAGCAAGGGGACATCGTTACAGGTAAAACATGTCCTAGGGCAGTCAGCACAGGGTAGAAGCTTGGGTCACTGTCTTACGCTTTGCAGGAGTAGCCCTGGCCCAGGAGCTAGGTGACTTTTCCCCTAGCCCTGGGTTCCCAGTGAAGGTGGGCTCAGTCCTGAGAGTAGAGGGTACAGGGTACAGGGTAAAGAGTATAGGGGAGTGAGGTCAAGTTTTCTCTGTGAGGAATTTGACCAGGATCGCTGTACCCCTCGATCTCACCCTCCCCCGAGTCCACCATGGATGCTAGGAGGCCAGGAATGTGCGGTCTAGAGTCCTCCAGAGATGGCAACATAGGAAACTGTGCCCATGAGGAGTATACAGCTGATAGACCCTTGGGGAGAAACTGCCAGTCATCTATCCAGTGTGTAGTGTGGGCCTCATGGAGGGATGTCCCCAACTATAAGAAGACACAGGGAAGGGCCAAGGACACCAGGGCCTGGCAGAATCCTGAAGCAGAGCCGTGGTGGCCAAGGCCAGACCCACCATTGCTCCACAGGGAGGGACATAAAGGATCAGCTGAGATTGGACAAATGTTCAGTCTGCCTGGAAGAAACTAGGAGGCGGATGCTGAGCCCTGGCAGGCCCTCCACCTGTAAAACCCACCGAGGGCGAAAAAAAAAAAAAAAAAAAAAAAAAAAAGGAGCCAATCTAGGTAACCAAGAGACACAGGTGTTCCTCTCCTCCAGTGACAGGGACTCTGGGTGCCCGTTTCTTCAAGCCCTGCCCCAGCCACCAACCCTGATCCCACGTCCCTCGGAGCCACATACCTAGAAGCCACCCTGCTTGCCAGCTCAACTGCAGCACAGCCCAAGTGAGAGGCCAGGGCACCTGCCGGACCCACATGCCCAGAGCCCCTGGCTGCGCCTCCTTCAAACGCCGGGGGCCCGCTATCTCCTCCTCCTCGGCTGCTGAGGCAGAGTTGTCTATAGCGGAAGGGAAATGGTCCTGGGTTATGCTGGAGGGAGGAGACCTGTTCTTGGCTCCCGCCCCCTCTTCCTCCACCTCCACAGAGGTGGGAGAACAGGCAAAGAAGGGTGGGGGAGGGGCCTGGGAAGGAGGAGGGGGAGGGAAAGATGCCTGGGAGGAGCAGGTGGGGGCGGCTAGCGAGAGGTGAGGGAGTTGGGGAAGTAGCGAGAGGTGAGGGAGTTGGGGAACAGAGCGAGAGAAGAGAAGACCAGATGCCTTTGCCTCCCGCCCCACTATGGGTCTTCTCCACTTCAGGCCCCATATTGAGGGCAAATTTGGTCCTTTCCATTCCCTACATCCTGATTGTTAGCTCCTGAGGTTTAGGGAGCCTGAGACGAGGGCTTTACTCTTGTCCCTTTGGAGGATGGGTGTACTCCTGGGCTGCAGGGAGGGTGAGCTGGACCTTCACCTATCTTGGCTGGCAAGTGTGACCTTTGAGTCCCCTGAGCTATGGCTTGGTCCTTTACTTTTGGGGAGCAAGAGCCAAGCCACCGCCACCTGCTCTGCCCGATGGGTCAGAGGAGGCCTGAAAGCCTCTCCTAGTACCCCCAAGAAGATGCCTCTCTCCCCAGCCACATCCTCAGACCCAAAAACCCCCTGGGTCTGGTCTGGCTTTCTCTCATGGCTTCTTTTCCCCTTCAAGACACTGGGCCCACCTGTTCAGCTCACTGTCTTCTCTGCTTCCATAGTGGTCCTAGTATTGCTGGTCCTGCTGACCTCGGTCTTCCTCTTCGCTGACCTAGTGGTCAGGTTTTATGTCCTTCCCAGTCAACCTTTCTCATTCCCTAGGTGGTGGGGGACCCCCAACACCTGTCCTGTCTCTGTCTCCCTGGGGAGGGAAGGGGTAGGCAGACCTGTGCGTATAGCCCCAGGCTGGTTGGCCATTTGTGGACATCTCTGATTACTTAAGAGTTCGGCTCTCATGTGTTTTGTCACCGTAAATGGGAAATAGGAAAAACGAAACTGCTGATATTAGATGTGTGGGTCTCACAACCCTAAAATAACCAGCCCGGCTGGAAACCATCTGCCAGCTGTGGCAGTCACCCTAGTTCAGAGGCACCGGGCTCAGCGGGGAAGGAAAGGAAACGTTACTTTGTACAGCGCCGCCGAGATGGAAAAAGAGTGTGAGGCACAGACTGGCCGCCCCCAGTCTCAGTATGGGGCTTGTGGGCAGAAGCGAGGGGGATCCCCTCCCCAGGCCTGGCTGTTACAGAGCCTCCTGACAGCCTTGTGGCTCCCAGGCATGTTCAGGCTAGCAAGTCCCTCAAGCGGGCTGGGCAATTAGGAAAAGACTACAGGCCTAGGGTGGGTTCTGGACAGAGCCCACGCAGTCCTGTTCTGATGTTCTAGCTAGACTCCTGCTGGACTCTGGGACTTCGGGCTCTACAAGGTACAGTAGCTTGTGAGGACTGGAGAGGAGCAGGAAGGAGTGTGAGCAGCAAGCTCTCATCCCATTCCCGGAGGCTGACTCAACATCCTAGGCCAGCAAGTAGTGGGACATCTTATTATAGAAAGGGAGAAAACCCCTGCCTGTCTCCCTCCCTTCCTATTCTGCTGCACTTTCTTCCTCCCCTTTATCTCTAGGCCTTATTTCTCTCTTCTTTCCTTTCTCCTCCCTAGCAGTGGGGTGAGGGACAGCCCTACTTGGTTTTCCTGTGGCAATAGCCGCTGCAACCCCCTTCACGAGGAAATGTTTTCCTGAGAGGGTCTGGGGTCTGAATCTTGTGGGTCCCAGGGCTTGCAAGGAGGCAGGCAGTGGGAGAGAAAGGGCAGGAGGGAAAGGGAAGTGTTGGGTATGGAACAACGGGGTCCTAGGACCAGGCCTATAGAGGGATTGCTGGGTCATACCCCAACTCACACTATTTACGCCTTATCCTACCGTCCCCACAAACCCCACAATCTTCAACATACATATTATTCCCCAGAACCACAGTCCAAAATACACATGCTAGCCCCAAGCACACATATTCTAGAAAGTACATATGATCTCCCCGTTCTCAGTGATCTGCAAATACACATGTAATCCCCAAGACATATGTTGTCCTCCAGTACTTCCAATTCCAAACACACACATTATGTTCCATGACATGCAATCTCTAACACAATACTATCCTACAGTACACACCCAATTCCAATTCTTTGTGTAGTCCTGGCTGTTCTGGAACTAGCTCTGTAGACCAGGCTGGCCTCGAACTCATAGAGATCTGCCTGCCTCTGCCTCCCGAGTGCTGGGATGAAGGCGTGAGCCAACACTTTCTGGCTCATGCTATCTTCCAATACATATAAAATCGCTATCACACTCTCTTCCCCAGTAAAGCGATTCCCAGCATAATGCTGTCTCTTAATATATATGCAATCCCCAACACACATGATATAATCCACAGTCTCAAACACATATACTGTCTCGCAATAGACACACAATCCTCAGGACTCACTTTCTCCTCTGATACCCATGCTATGTCCCAATACACACATAATTCCTAACACACAAGCTGTCCCACTGTGCTGGCTACCTGTTGCTTCAGTTTTTAATGGGGCATCATTCCCTCCAGTCATAGGTCAGCTCTCCCTTTGGGTACTGAGCCAGGGTTGGTGTCATGATCTGTTTCCAACTGAGGCAGGTGTAGGAAGATCCCAGTTGGTAAGGATCATGGGCAGAGCTGCTAGGGACATTCTTGTGTGGATCTGGGTATGGCCAGCAGTTAGCATTCCGTGAGTGTGATCGTTGGATGTGAGGTTGTCATGGTAGCATGAACTGGAGAGCCTGCATCCACATCTGTTTCTTACTGGACTCACTGAGGAAATACTCAGTAAGCCAGGTAGGAAGAATTAACCCAAGACTTAGTTCGGTGGTCACCAGCGGAGCTTCCCTGTGTCAAGCCCTCAGAAGTCTCCCCGCCCCGGTGGGGGCTCTCCTCCTTCTAGACAGGGCAGAGAAGCGTGAGTTTCCAGGGTGTTGACCTCAAGATTATCACACAAAGGCAGCACAGGTGGAAAGTTAGGGAGAGGGGATCCCCACACTCTGGAGGTAATGGGAAGTTTCCATCTAGGTGGGGACAGGGACAGAAAGTTCAGAAAACAGAAGGATCATTTTGAAAGAAGTGTAAGGGAAACAGGAGGTAGAGGGGCAGGCCAGAATCCAGACCCCAAACCCACTGTGGCCCACAGTGAGGTCTCACTGGGGCACAGGGCCCAGCGGCCCAGGTGACAGCTGTTTCGAAGGTACTTCTGAGGTTGGAACAGGAAATGGTTAATAGTGTTTGCAAATAAAAACTCTCTGTTCTGCCCTGTTTTGAAACATTTCCCAGAAGCTAAAGGAAGAGCCGCTAATTTATCTGCCCAATTTAACACACATACACACACACACACACACACACACACACACACACACCACACTTCACACTTAATCATGTACTTGTTCCTTAGAACATATGACTTCCAGTTCCCCTTTCCTCTGAACTTTCTACCGTGTAATTTGTGGTTTAAATGTGCATCTGCATGTGATTTCCTATTGTGCACTTCTGCGTGTTTGTTGCATGTGTGTATGCAGTGTCCATGTGCTCCCAGTGTGTCTGTACTTTGTGCCACACGAGCACAGAGGGCATCTGCATTTTGGTCTTCTTGACTACACAGATGGCTACAGGAGAGCCTCACTAAAGCCCTGAAGCCGGGCTGGGCTGAGATGGGCACCCAGCGGGCCATGCATGCAAGCACAGTGACCTCTGGGAAAGACTCTAAAGCCAATGACCGCTGAGCTGCAGAGGACCGAGGGGACTAGTCACCAGCTGAGTGGGTGGGCATAGTTTTCTGTCAACTCACACAAGCTGGAGTCTTCTGAAAGGAGGGAGCCTTTACCGAGGAAGCTTCCAGACGATCTGGCTGCAGGTCATTTTCTTTTCTTTTCTTTTTTTTTTTAAGATTTATTTATTTATTATGTATACAACATTCTGCCTCGATGTATGCCCACACGCCAGAGGAGGCCAGATCTCAGTACAGATGGTTGTGAGCCACCATGTGGTTGCTGGGACTTGAACTCAGGACCTCTGGAAGAGCAGCCAGTGCTCTTAACCTCTGAGCCATCTCTCCAGCCCCCGCAGGTCATTTTCTTGATTAGTGATTGGTGGGGAGGGTCCAGTCCATTGTGAGGGGTGTTGTCCCTGGGCTTTCTATAAGAAAGCAGGCTGAGCAAGCCATGGGGGAACAAGCTGGTAAGCAGCGCCCCTCCATGGCCTCTGCATCGACTCCCGCCTCCAGGCTCCTGCCCTGTTTGAGTTCCTGTCCTGACTTCCTTCAGGGATGGACTACAAAGTTTAAGTGTAAGCCAAATAAACCTTTTCCTCCCCGGGTTTCTTTTGGTCATGGTGTCTCACCATAAGGACAGAAAGCCTAGCTAAGACCCTCGTCCACTCTTAGGTGTCTTGAGCTTACAGTTAGGCCGCCATTCTGCCAGCTGCCCTAGCCCTTGTCCCAGTGGAGCTTAGAAGCTGAGCCACAAGGCGAGAGTGGACAGGGCCAGGAGCAAGGGCAAGAGTAGGACTTAGGCATCTTGCTAGGTGACTGATAAATAGCGCTGAAATTGACTTTGCTTTCCCAACGGTCTCTTCCCTGCCCTCTTCCTTGTCTCTCTTCCAGCCCTTGAAAGCTATTTCCGGGGAGGCTTCTCAGGTCTTAGGATAGGATTCTCATAAATAATCTGCTCCTATCTCTTGTTCTCAGAGGCCAGCATCCATGCAGTCGGCTGAGGATAGCTCCTCACACCCATCCTGATGGGGATACGTCAGCACAGCTGGATCCAGGCTTGAGAGTTACCTCATAGCGGGCACAGTTTTTATTCACTGGGATTTTTTTTTTCTGGTTTAGATGAAGAGAGTACATAG